AAACTGGTAAAAGAAGAATTTTCCCACAATCATATGAGTTGAGCTGACGTTTCCATTCAATTTCACATTGCCTTGCTTTCCCAAAAGTTTTTCTCATTCAGGTGAGATTGTCGATGAAGCAAATGTATTTTTGCTATAACAATCGAATACGTTATTTTATTTTTCGCATTTAAGTATTGTTTTGAGGCTACCAGTAAATCAGTAGTATGAGATGTATTCACCCAATTTCGTTTAAGGTGAATGATACATTTCATATTGCTGATTTACTGGTAGTCTCAAAACTCTACTCAAATACGAAAAATAATTAACGTAGTCGATTGTTATAGCAAATATACGTTTGTTTCATCGACAATCCCACCAAAAAATATGGTATGGCAAAAGTTCTGGTCTTCTTTGAAATTCGCATCTGCCCTGTGCCCCAAGGGCACTCGTGGCAATGTGGTCGAGTGATTAATACGTCAAGCTCTCATTCTACACTTTCACAGTTCAACTCCTGCTGGGGGTGTTGATAAGACCGATGCGAGTTCGAAACTGCAGTCCACTCCAGCCGGGATGAGAACAACTTTTGGGAAAGCAAGGCTATGTGAAATTCAATGGAAAACGTCAGTTCAACTCATATCATTGTGGGAAAATTCTACTACAATTCCTTCATCACCTTAAACTAAATGGGGTGAATACATTTCATATACTGATTTACTGGTAGTCTCGAAACTCTACTCCAATACGAAAATAAGTAACGTAGTCGAGTGTTATAGCAAATATTTACGTTTGCTTCATCGGCACTCCCACCAAAGAATATGATATAGCAAAAAAGGCCTGACCTTCCTTGAAATTGACCTATGCCCTGTGACTCAAGGGTACTCGTGGCAGTGTAGCACTGTCGCGGTTCGTCTCCCGTTGAGGGTGTTGATGAGACCGATGCAAGGTCGAAACTGCAGTCCACTCCGGTCGAGATGTGAACAACTTTTTGGAAAGCAAGGCTCTATGAAATTGAATGGAAGCGTCAGCTCTACTCATATCATTGTGGGAAAATTCTTCTTCTACCTTTTCCCTCATCACCTTAAACGAAATTGGGTGAATACATTTCATATTAAGATAAGTTAGTCTCAATCCTAGAGTTTAGTACATAATCGTATGCTTAATGCTGAGCACAAGATTAGAGGCTTCCTCCAAATCGGCAGATTATGCACGGCAGTAAATAGCAGAAGCACAGCTAAAAGGTTAAGTGTGAAGCGTGAAGGCCTAGAAGTGGGTTGACGTCGTTTTTTCTCAACTTGGTGGTGTTGTCAGGCGGACGTATCTTGTCCAAAGTCCTCTGCCATAGTAGCTATCATATTTCCAGGCGTCTAACTGTGAATTTGGTACATTACCCCGACTTATTATCTATGAACCTAAAATAGCTTACGCTTTTCAGTTTGGTTATTTTTCTTTACTTTCTAGCTTGAAGCCTGATTTAGGAAGAATCTAGATAGGGTTCTTACTCCGGAGGAGTATCAAAAACTCCACAGTATGGCTGACTAGAGGGTCCGAGATTGGATAAATAAGAAGCATGACAAGAAAGTGCTTGGATATGGGATTCAGGCCGACGCGGGAAAAATTGTGATGGTTCTATGTTGAAGGCATCCACATCTACAGACGACGATAGGGGTGAGTTAGTGAGCGTATCCTCAGTCCCTTTTGGTTAAGCTGTGAATCCCCTGAATAGCGGATTAAGCTTGTCTATAGAAAAAAAGGATACGTTTTAACAGATATTCTTGTTAAGGTTGTGAGTATATCGGATGAACATACAGAAGAGATAAAGCGCTAGATGGAAATGAGAAAAAAATCCCAAGAATTCTGGCACATCAAAAGCCAATAAACAGGAGCGGATTAACGTGAATTGGCAAAAAATACAAAAGAATGACAAAATAATTCACAGGCGGACGAGTAAGAAGTGACGATGATAATGGATGGCAAACAGTACATGGAGGAAGTGAAAAATATTCTAGGCGACAGAAACACATTAAACTAAGTAAGATCAACGGTATATTAAGGCATGTGCTAAAATAAATGCATAACAACAGAGAAATCGACAGATGGATGGACAGCCCCAAGCTGCCAGTCGTCAAAGAGACAAGTGAGACCAATCTATTGACCAAATTTCTGCCGAAACTGTTGTCTCGGCAGGCACCCAGTCCACGGTTCGACGCTGGCAGTTATGGCGACTATTGCAGCAGAGGACTTCGGCCAAGGTGCGTCCAACTAAATCAGCCTGGCAGCACGACCAAGTTGGGAAAACGGGGTCAACCCTCTTCTATACATCGAAAGTGGACTGCGAACATACCAAATGCCACGCCATTATGGTCTTCATTTCTTCGTTTATACTTAATTTATCAAATTAAAGATTCGAAGCAGATGACGACTCAACTAGCATTTTGTTGCTAATGCCTTTAAAGACGGTCATACTTGCTAGACGACTCATTTTACAATAAAATCGCATCAAATTAATCAGATTTGCTTAAAAGGGTCATTAAACCTTGATGACCGAGAAACGGATGTTACGGTCTGTCCTAATTACTTGGAGATATCATTCTTGGTTTGGCACCTTTACGCATATATGATTACACATTAGCGACTACACACATACACACCCACACACACACATATATATACAATCATTTGTACATGCTTTTAGATTGAAATATGACATGAACTAACCAAATCATTCCATAATGAATAATAATTAATAGGTTTAGAGCACATATGCAGCATATATGGAAAGGTGTATAAGTTCACTTGACTTAATTGCAGCCCCGTTATGATGATTATTTCTTAAATACAATTATTATTTGCCACATACAAGTAAGAATAATCTTTTAAAATTGTTTAATGATGTGGCTGAATAGAGGCTTCAAGAAAACCTCGCAAAGTTGCATTGCTTAAACACACCCAACCGGCAGGCGTGATTCGGAGGTTTTATTGAAAGCGCAATCAATGCCAGATAACTTATTTGATGTAGTATTTTATCAAATAACAAATTAATCATGATGATTAATTTAAAAATTCCTGCGTCAAAATCAGGAAAATCAGGAAAGATGTACCGAAGGCATCTAAAACTGGGAGGACAAAGTGAGTGGTCAGAGAGTGGCAAACCTGTCCTAACCCCCAGAGGTTCTATCTAAGAATATCAATTATGTGCTGCCAAATTGTAAGAGCTACGTTTAAGAAATATTGGCAGCATTCATGAGTGTCACTAGTCGGTCGGCGGAGGGGATTAGAGGCGATATTGCGTCAAAGGTTGTTCCCCCAATTGGTAGCCATGTAGAAGTACAAAACAGGAATAGGCGATATCATCAATTGGCCTAAACGAAACGAGTAAACAGCTCTTGGCGACAGAGAGTAGAGCACTAGGAACAGAAGAAATGCTTCAGGTGCCAGAGGATGTTGAAATGTACGTAATTGTAACTAAGGTTTCTACAGAAAAACTTAAGTCTGGCCATTTCTTCAAAGAGGTGCCGGGTCTCCAAATGCAGATGGCCTGATCAAAATTCACAATGAAGCGGACCCGCTCGGGATTATTGGGAAAAATCACTGTTGGCTCATGCATAAAGCATAGAACTTTATTTGTAATTTATTAAATTAAAGCTCAGGATGACAGTGGTTATCGATACAGATTTTTTGTGACTTTATTAAGTGAATATATGAAGACCAAGATGTTGTGGCTTCTGGTATGGTGGCAGTGTCCTTTCGATTTATAGAAGTGGGTTGACCTCGTTGTCGCAACTTGGCCTTGTTGTCAGGGCGACTTGGTAGAATACATCTAGTCCGAAGTCATTTGCCATAATATTGTCATGATTCCCAGCATCAGAAAGTGGACTTGGTACAGTTTAGAATGTACAAGTTCACTGTCTGATGCTGGGTATTATGGCCACTACTATGGCAGACGACTTCGGAGTTGATACGTTCTACTAAGTCGCCCTGACAACAAGATATAAATTAAATTTTAATCAGCCCTTCCGTCAAAAGATATTCTCACCCAGGCTGGGCTTTAGTCTCCACCTCACCTCTGCTTCATTAATGCTTCGAATCTGACTCCAACGGGACTTGAACTCGGGTTGTTCAGCGAGTTCCTTCCACAGTTTACCGCTTCACCGACAGACCATTTCGTACTACATGCGTTCTGCATAGTCGCCCTGACGACAAGACCAGGTTGCGACAACGAATTCAACTCACTTTTATTAAGTGAGTTCGTAAGCTTTAGGACTAACATTAAATCAGACACAAGCAATTAGGAAAGAATTGATGTGAAGAAGAGTTGCGTTTTGAGGAATGTTTTGTTTCATAAGTGTTGAGCTTACTTCCATTTCAAGTGAAAGTGTTGGGTGATTGTTGAAAACAGACGTTCCTTTTTGCTGTCCTAATTACTTTGAGCCATCACTACGGGTTTCGTGCATAAACGAACACAAACAGACACATAGACATAAAGAGACAGACACACTCACAGGCTTTAAAGTTGAGATATGACCGTAACTAACCAAATCACTTCATACTTGATCAAAGATGCCAGATATAGAGTATATATACACCACTTTTGGGGATTTGCCGGTGAGTTTTCTTGACTCGTTAGCTTGAATTTGGTTGCGATGATGATACCTTGCTCTGATGATGTTCTTCATGCGACGGACGAAGGCTTGGCACCTTTTCATCGGAATCGAAGGAGATTGCCTCGAAAACAGCGTCAGCATGAATGTTCGAGTAAAGCCAATCGACAGCTGGTCAAGAGGAATCCGCCTTCATCTTCTGGTGGAACCGACCTTCTAATCTCTTCATCCAAGACTTTCACTCTGAAATGTAAGTAAGCTCAACAATTATGAAACAAGAGATTCCTCGAAACCCAACTTTTCTTCGCGTAAGATGAATCAGCCGCCATCTTTCGATGGAATCAACCTTCGAAGCTCTTCACCAAACACTTTCACTCGAAATGGAATTAAGCTCAACAATTAAGAAAGAATGGTTGCGATTTTGCAAAACTCACGTTTGCTGCTGGGATCGGAGTTACCTTCACTTTCAGTAAATAACTGCATTGCTTACTTATGCTTACTTCCTATCAAGGGGCATTTCTAGCTTGGAAAATATTGGCCCTTTGGCAGCATGGCAACGAGAGTCTAAAATAATTCGGTAGGTTTCTAAGTAGATTTAACCACTACTCCTTTATCACTTTACACGGAATAGGGTGAATATATCTCATATAACTGATTTGCTGATAGTCTAGACAGCCTACTTATAAACGAAAAGTAGCTTAAACAAAACAAGCGAATTCAAAAGAAGCTAGAAAAGCTGACCTTGGAAGAAAGGAATGTCCGTTTAAAGCAAGGAAAAAATAGGGTAGAAATGCTTTTAGGACACACAAAAATGCGGATTGCTTTGTTTAGTTCTTCTAACATAATGCTTATTTGGCTATGCAGGGGTTGTGAAATAGGTTTTAGAAGGAAGTTTGTGTCCAATAGATTAAAATGTCTTGGTGAAAAGAAAGCTATTTTTCGTGTTTGAGTAGAGTTTCGAGACTAACAGTTAATCTGTAGTCGATTGTTATAGCAAATACACGTTTGCTTCATCGAAAATCCCACCAAAGAATATGATATGACAAAAAGGTCTGGCCTTCCTTGAAGTTCACATGTACCCTGTGACCCAAGGGCACTCGTGGCAAGCTAACATTTTGCAGTCTCGCGGTTCAAATCCTGATGGGGGTATTGATAGGACCCATGCGAGGTTAAAATTGCAGTCCATTGGTGCCTGGATGAAAAAACTTTTGGGAAAGCAGGGCTATGTAAAATTCAATGGAAACGTCAGTTCTACTCATATCATTGTATGAAAATTCTAGTACCAGTCCTTCATCACATCTGGTAAAAGAAAACTAATTCATAAAAAATATCTATTAGGATTAATTGTCAATAATTTCACAATAGCAAAAGGTGTATGTGATGTATTCACACTATTCCTTTTAAATGATGAAATGTTGATAGTTGAATTTTCCCACAATCATCTGAGTAGACCTTGCGTTTCCATTGAATTTCACACAGCCTTGCTACTCCAAAAGGTA